ATAAGTGAGGGACATGAGTACCAACATAACGCCACAAAAAAATCGAAAATCGAATATACGTAACCCTCGGAAATTCAAAATTCGCGATACTTTTTGAACAGACCTCGTATGTCGCTGGATAGTATTTATTTATTGTTCATCTTTACTTGATGCTACAGGTGTTTAATTAGAGGTTAACCGGATACATCACAGGGACAAGTGAATTTATCGCGACCGCTGCGAGAATGAATGTCGCCTTCCCAGTCGCTGCTGTAGAGAACGCGTTGCAACAAGCGAGAATCTTGGTGCAAAGGATCAAGAGTGACCCGAAAATATATACGGAAAAGCAATAGAAGGTACAATTCGACCATTCTAATCTTCTAATCTCCTTTGTCGCAGCGTGAATTTCTCTCGGTGAAAATATAAAAAGAAAAAGACCTGAGAAACATTCTTACTGGAACGATCCTTTGGGGGTTAATTTACCAGCTCATCATGATTCTATTTGGAACTAATGAAGTCTGTTTGGAACAGTGTTACAACCCGGAATAATTTTCACTGTTGCGTTACACCCTGCATTTACGGAAGACGTTCGATTTTTTAAGAGTTGCCTTGCTCTGTACACTGGTCAATTTGGTTCCAGCCATAGGTGATTCCAGCTCGTTTAATTAGTCTTTTACGCCAAGCCGAACGAGTGGAACGGTAATTTATTTTTCGGCAAATATCACGGTCTCGGTTAGGGTAACGCGAAGTGCCATGTGCAATATATTGCATCCTCTTTACTGTGCTTGCATGTACAAAGATGATAGATTGGAAATCGCCTGTTCTAAAATGTCGCAGCTCTATCAACAGGCTGCCGAAGAATTAATCTACTCAAGAAGATACATTTTGTTGTTCAATATACGATTATTATTCGATCGTGACAATTTCCTATCCTTCACAACATGGTATAGTGACGAAATGTTTTCTTTTAGATACGATTATTCTCCGGATTTCAAGGTGGTTTTGAAGCCGTTTGTTAAATTATTTAATGCACTTAATGTAGATCCTATTCGCGTACCGCCGGTTGACTCCAGTCTGGTTATTTACGACTGTTTGAACTTTATTCAGAAAGAGCACGCACTCGGTGAGAAACATTAATTCTTGCACCGTGTTTATATTAAATGTTTACATGAAAAATGTAATGTATTATGTACTTGTTATAAAGTTTTGTAATAGACACCAATAAGGCGATAACAACAAGCGATACTGTCATTATCTACTGTGGTTTACTTTTATCGCTTGATTGACGCCTTTTAACAGCAGTATGTTGCAGTGCTTGGATGGTTGCATGCTACCAGGGAAAACAAAATCATGAAACCAATGTTATCGCATTTGTATCAAACGCATGAAAAAAAGTTCGATAAAGTTATTTCCTACGCGAAAATATCAGACCTTTCATCAAAATGTGAAATGTTAATAAAATTTTCAAATTGTATTTGCATAATATGCTATTGGATTATTGTTGTCTCTACAGCATATACTGTAAAACTCAATTTTATATAAAATAAATATCAATAGTCGTGTATATTAATATTGTTTTTACATTTTGCAACATGAGCAATTGTATTCACAGCTACTAGAAAAATACAAAATTATTTCTACTGATATTACGCATAAAAATGTTCCATTTGCGAACCGATCCAACATAGTGTTCAATTATAACACACACTATTAATTATGTCAGAGACACATATTTATGTATTTATAACTGCATGAATTAACCCTTTGAATGCTATGGACATATATATGGACGCATATATGCGTCCAATGAAAGCTATGGGTGTAAGTTATGGACGTATATATGCGTTTAGCTTGATTGATAAATGTTTTGAGATTTACCACACCAAAATGAACTTTTGATTTCAGTGAATTTGAAATTTAATGTTAAATTAATATATTATTCAAGTAGTTGCGCCTTGTGTATTCAGTCGACAGTTCAAAGTTCACATTAGCAAAATATGTATTCCGTTCTCAGCGATAGAAACCGCTAGGCGCGCGCCGTCCACGCGGATTACTTGCGCCGGAAGTATTCAGCACTCAAAAAATTAATGTTCCTACATTAAGCAGAAGCACAGCGATAAATACATTTAGGAATCAATCTTTGTCAATGTTGTTATATAACAAAAGATTTCCTTAACGACAGAGATTTATGTATTCGAGAAAAGGTCAACTGGTTTACGACAATTAACAATTGTTCACTGGTTTACGCAGTTAAAAATAAACGAGTCGGCCGAGCGACACCTTCGTGAACATTAAAATGATTGTCAGGCCTATGCAGCTGGCTTCCATTGTCAATGTGCGTGCACACGCGCTCGCGTTCATTAGTGGCGTTGAATGGTCAACACAACTTATTGAACGTTCCTTAGATGGTGCCAACAAGAGTCACTATGAAAAAAAAACGTCACACTAGTCGTCGTTGATGAGATTTTTTCGCGAAAATAACAAACAATGATAAAGAGAAAGGTGCGTAACATTCGAGCTTTTACCTGCTGTCCCGGCCATAGATGCTTTTATGTGACATCAATGTTTTTGTTAAAACGGTTACATTATGATTTTCTATGCATTTTACGTATTTTATATACGGTAAAGGGAAAGGTAAGTACATAAGAGAAATATTCATATTTAAATTATAATTGCTTATTTTTACCAAATTGTATTAATTTTTTAATAACATAGCACACATTATCTTTCAAAGCACATGCCAGCAATTCGCAATCGACAAGAGATTCGCTTTTGAAATTATCGCTCTCGCGTATCGTTTTAGCAGCATAAGTCAATTCGAGAGTCACGTAAAATATATCAATAATAATACTTCGTTGCAAGACGTTTACAAATTTTTAAATTTCATATCAACGAGATGCGCATTTTCACATAGCCATGAGTACATGTAAACGACGCAATACTTGAGATTAAGTATCACATTGTTGTTTTCGATTTTAAATACGTAAATTAATTCAACAGAATAAGCATTATAATTTTATCATCGCGCATCTTACAAAATTCCACCGCTGGTTCTCGAAACCGTATCAGTGAAGAATGAGTTTTAATTGGCTCTCTATATCGCTCGATGTTCACACGTTTTTTAATCAGCATTCTCTACATCGATATAGGCAAAATCAGCTGACTGTCGCGATTGTTGCCAAGAGCAATTTCTACAAATGATACTGATCCTGCGCTGATCCCGATTTTTAGGTATTTGTATGATGTAGATGTTAAAACGTATCTCCTCTCCAAAATACGAGATGCTCGATACGGTCTGAAAGTTGAATTATAAGTTTTTAAAAATATTATCTAAAACAATTAAATTTTCAGAAAAATTGTATGTAAAAATCATGAAGATGTAGCAAAATTATGACTTACAAGTCACATTTATCCTTCTTACATGGCGATGCTTTGTCTCCTTCTTTGATGGAAACGTAATAATTATTGCATTTCCCTCCAGCACAGATAGTATACATTTTGAATCAGAGCTTGTAGAACGTTTTATAGATCGACTGAAGTTATAACGCGTATGAGCTACTTAAACATGGGCAATTCTTACCAACCACTGCATTTTTTAAACATAATTTATTCATAAATTATTTTTTTCTCTTGATAATCGTTAAGAGACATGTTTCAAATGGAAGAAGACATATATGAGACGTATGTGAGAGAGAACTATCCGGATATTCCTTATCTTTATTTGAGAGTTGAGTTTGGGAACGTATACTTCACTCATCAAAGCAAGACAACGTTCACAGTTTCCTATCGGCTTCATATGGTCTCTGCCCATAAACCTTTTTTCTCTTTCGATAAGCGCTAAAAAGGCATGTCAGAACGTGCTCCAAATAGAAGACACCCGAAACGTATATATCGGGTGTTATCTATTTGGAGCACGTATATATATAAATATAAATATATATATATATATATATATATATATATATATNTGTGGTTGATGTTATTAAGCCCGGTGTTCGAAATGTCCACCGTTTGCTTCCGGTTGAAAAATACCTTTATTGGTAATTCGGTTAGCTAAGCGAGAAAAAACTTTGTACGAATGAGGAGCGCGATCTGGGTATTGTTCTCGCCACAATCTTGCAGCTGCTCTAAATTGACCATCACATTCACATAAAATAATCATCATATCACAAGCTTCCGCGTTTGAATACGACATGGCTGGTAAATGAGAATTTTGTTACGCCTTACGTGACAGTATCAGACATGTCATACATCACCACTGGGTAATGCTAATGCCGGCGGTACCGTAACTTTCAACCCTCATAACTCAAAAAGTACTGATTAAAAAAACGTTTCATTATAGCGTTTTGGAAAGCTCTCGAGGTAAGCTACAAGAATATGCATTGAAAAATTGGGATTCCCATTTAAGAAATTAAAGGTGACCTTCACGTGATCTCCAAACGACTATCCAAGGTCAAACCAATGACACCATCTTATGTGCCCCTTGAAGTCACAAAACTTTTGTCTGAAACGTTTTTCTTTAAAATGTCGCGTTTACGAAAAAATCGGGTGAGACGGGTGGTCTGGGACACCCTGTATATATAAGTGTGAGGGTGGTGTTTTGTCAGCGTTTAGTACAGAAGATCAAATTACTCACAGTGTCGAATTACTCATCGACATCGAACGCGGTGTTTCTCGATTTCCGTCACAGAAGGCCAGTATGTTTATAGACTTGCAGCACAGAAAAGGCATAGGTGAATTTTCCCTACACTGAAAGTCTGTGTTTAACGATCGCGCGAATTAGGAAGAACGCTAATATCATTCGGGATAATGAAGAGTTCGCAGTGATGGAGGACATCAATTTTGAAGGAATAATGGACTTAGATGTCGACGAAGATTCTTACCGACGATAGCAATTATATCAGCGACGATAGTGACAAATTTATAGAAGAATTTGACAAAGTAAAAACGAATGCAGAAATCAATGTACTCAATGGACGGACCAAAATGTGTTGCATATATTTTGATTACTCTACAGGAGATAGTTTAATGTTATGCGCTTCGTGTGTTGTATGCTTAGAGTGACAGTTCGACCATATATGCGGCTTTTAGAAGCATCTGATTAAGAGACACGTTGCGATAGATGATATACGAGGCCTGTTCAAAAAGTATCGCGAATTTTGTGTTTTTTCAAAAATTATTTATTTATTCATGAATATCTATTTTGTCTCCTTCAAAGTAATCCCCATCAAATATTATACACTTGTGCCAACGTTTTTTCCAATCCTTGAAGCACTTCAAAAAATCATTTTTTGTGATCTTGTTCAGCTCCTTCTTCGATGTCGTCTTTATCTCCTCAATCGTAGCGTAGCATCGTCCTTTCATGTGCTTCTTCAGTTTCGGGAACAAGAAAAAGTCACAGGGGGCCAGGTCTGGGGAATACTGTGGCTGCGGCATTATTAGTGTGTTGTTTTTGGCCAAAAATTCTTGTACAAGCAACGATGTGTGAGCAGGGGCGTTGGTACGAATTTCGCGGCGACCCGTCTCATGCCCAAATCATTAGTAAAAATCGAATTGCACGAGCCAATCGATATGTTTAGGTCCTCAGCAACTTCTCTAACGGTGATTCGACGATTGGCCAATACTATTTTCTACACTTCATCAATGTTTTCGTCTGTTGTTGACGTGCTCGGGCGTCCGGCACGCTCTTCGTCGTTCACATCTTCTCGGCCCTCTGAGAACATTTTGTACCACCGATAAACGTTGCTTCGGTCCAAGGTAGCTTCACCATATAGCATAGTCAACATTCGGAATGCGTCTGCGCATTTAATTTTGTTAGATTCTTTGATCCATTTTTTGGAATAGGCAAAAATCGAAGACGAGCCAAAACACGTCCAAGCAAAACAGCTGTCAAAGATAAACTGAATATTCAAAATGGCCGAATTTGTCGGCATAAGTGAGGGACATGAGTACCAACATAACGCCACAAAAAGAATTGAAAATCGAATATACGTAACTCGCGGAATTTCAAAATTCGCGATACTTTTTGAATAGACCTCGTATATTGCTCTGGTTGCAGAGATCCGCTATTTCAAATGATACCATGCTATATGCGTCCCACATGCGCGAAGTAAGTGCTTTCGTTAGTGGAATTGAACAATATTTCGAAGAACGCAGTGGGAAAGTGGAAGAACTCGCGCGAATTAAACGTGAACTATGGGACTAATCTGCTCGATTCGTTCGCGAGTTGATGGTTACAGTGCGTGAGAGAAACAATGCAACAAGTGTCTCGAGTCGTTAGAGAACATAGCCGAGTGAAAAAATTGCGATTTTCAGCTGGTTCAGTGCATTCGTTGGTCGCTTGTATTGTGAGAATCGAAAAAACTCTTGGCGTACAGGTTTTGTGCATGCCGGTGCCGGAGATTCCAATGCAGGATTCTTGTGGCGAGAAATCGACACCGCGCTCGATAGCCGCGTCTTAACCGGTGTAGATATGAAATCAGATTATATCGAATCTTTACGATTTTTCTGAGATGCAAATAACATAGTGATCGAACATGTGCGAAACGTTAGCGAGAGACACAAGTCTCTCAACGTGAACACTGTGTGTTTAATGGTGAGTTTGTCGCGCGTGATAAACACGCAAACAAAAATGTCAATATGAGAAATTGCGAACTCTTTTCCACATCTGATTTAGACGAGCGGTACGAGCGGTACATGACAAAACCCACCTTAGTGTCTTTGGATGAATTCCAAAATCGCGACAGCGGATGGGCATTGTTGCGATTACTCGATCCGATGAACAATGAGAATGAGTACAATCCGATACGCGCGTCTGTCATTTCGAGTTACCGCGCGAAATACGACTGAAAAGAGTAAAGATCCACGTGCAATCCACGGATAACGCGTATTTCGCGTGTGCAGTGGTCGCAACTCTGCATGCAGTTGAAAGACGTACAGTTCGCATATTCTCATATTCACATTTTGAATTGCGACCGTAATTCGCGGCTCGGCTTCTCCGAGACGCCGGTGCAACACCGACAGGTGAATCTCTGGGCGCGAAACTATCTCCGGACCTCCTTGGGTCCGTATGGGCGCCAGGTGCACATAAGTCGCACCCACTAACGATAGCTTCTGCGGTAGGCGTCGCCATCCGCGCGTCGGCCACGCGACCCGAGTTCGTCCCAATCGGGCCCGGCAGCTCCGTGGTAGGTTGAGTCGGAGGCCAGGGTGGTTCGAATGGTCACGCCGGGAATCGCCGAAAACCGAAATATGAACGAGATCACAAAAAAGAAAAAAAACAGCGGCTTCGGTGTTTTTCACGCCTTTATTTGGCCTCCATGTCAAACGGTACGAGGCGCTCTGGCGGAGCGCCTTACGATATACAATTTTATTCTGCTCTTGTTTCCCGAACCGCGGCGGACCCGCGATGTCCGATAGCAATGGCCGGCCCCTCGAGCGGCCCCCGAGCCAGGTGGAGGGACTTCACACGCAACACCTGCGGGGTAAATTTTTCCCGCGACGCTCTACGCTCTCGACAAACAAAGAAAAACACAAAAAAAAGAATGCGGTGAGGCGGCCTTAGAATTACGAGCTCCCGTGCGGCTGACCCACGACGATCCTCCTCCCGTCGTTCTTTTTCTCGCTCCTTCCCTCTCTCCTTGCGCCTCTTCTCTCTATCGCTCTGCTCTCTCTGCGGAAGCCGATAACAGTTGCTCGCTCTGCGGAAGCCGGTAACAATTGCTCTCTCTGCGGAAGCCGATCAAGATTTTTGCGGCAGCTGCCAGACAACAACCGAAATCTCAAAATCGCCAAAACCCAAAATCTGTCTTCATCGAGGAGGCTGCTAATTTTAAGCAGCCTTCCTCTTCCTTGGTTGTTCCGCCATCCCCTCCCCGGCAGCTGGATTTTTGCCGGCGGTTACCGAGTCGCCCCTTAGCCCGCCGCTTCGCCGCCGGCCTATCTCGGCGCAGTACCGCGGCTCCGGGCTCCTTGTCCTTGAGAGCGACCTCGGTCCGCCGGCCTTACCGCCGCCGAGAGGTCGGAACGATAGCCCCGGCGGTGTCGGTAGCGGCTCCTCGTCAGTCGGCACCGATCAGAGGGCGGCGAGTCCACAGGGTCCGGCGGGAGCTTCGGATGGCCCATGTTCTTCCCCCCGGCGGTTTTCGCCTTGCCCTCTTCTCGCCGCTACCCGGAGCGGGGCGATACATCCTTCTGGAACGCGGGGCTTGCCTCTAACGTTACCACGCGCCTGCGGCGCGCGGTCTCCGTTGTCTTGCAAACCAAAAAGAACAAAAAAAAACAAACTGGTAGCTTTAATTCGGCGCTCTAGGGAGCGCGCCACTCGAATTGCAATAGGGCCCTTGCCCTTGTGACGGGCGCTCCCGTCTGCCACGTAACAGAATTAATATTAAATCTACTGAATATTGAATTTTTGATGTCTGTGAAACAAATAACAAAATTTGAACGATTGAACAATATATCTATTAATGTGTCTAGCATTGAAAAGAAAGCAAAAATGGAAAATCAGACTCAAAATTTTTCCGATACGTCTCACAGACCGGACAGTGAATGAACATGTCAATCTATTAGGTCTACCGGAAAGTTTTGTCCGTTTTTAGAATAAAATAAAATAATAAATTTTTCATACCTCGAATAAACTTTATTAAATAGTATAAATTGCCATTATTACGAGGGTGGTAAACACCCTGAAGTACCCGGCCTGACATAGAGATGGCGGTAGTTGTTTGAAAAATATCACTGTATTAGAAAGTACACAATCTATAAAGCATATGTTTCAAGTTTGAAGACGCCACGTTGTTTAGTATTTGTTTGGCAGCCATCAATAGTGAACGTTTTCAGTGAATTTGTGAAAATGGAGAAAATTGGTCATCGTTATGTGATGCAATACTTTTATTTGAAAGGCCTCAGCCCAACCAATATAAAAGCTGAACTGGATTCTACTCTGGGTGAGTCTGCTCCTTCGTTTACAACAGTAAAATATTGGGTAGCAGAGTTTAAACGAGGCCGTACGAGCTGCCAAGACAAGCATCGCAGTGGGACCAAATGAGGTGATGACTCCAGAAATGGTGAAGAAAATCCACAAAGCTGTATTGGATGATCGTCGACTGAAAGTGCGCGAGCTAGCAGACATAGTAGGCATTTCAAAAAGTGCGGTACATCGTATATTATTTGAAAATTTGGACATGAGAATGCTGTGTGCAAGATGGGTGCCGCGTTTGCTCACACTCGAGCAAAAACAGTGTCGTGAAGATGTTTCAATTGAGTGTTTAGCCAAGTTTGAATTACTACCTCATGCACCCTATTCGCCAGATTTAGCCCCCTCGGATTATTTTCTTTTCCCAAACTTGAAAAAATGGCTCAGTGGTCAAAGATTTTCCAACAATGAAAAAGTGATGTCGGCAGTTAATGGCTATTTTGAGGAGCAAGACAGTTCTTATTATAAAAATGGTATCGAACTTATTGAACATCGCTGGGAAAAGTGTATAGAGCTGAAAGGAGATTATGTTGAAAAATAAATACATATTTTTCCAAAATTTTTGTGTTTTCTTTGTTGGGTCGGGTACTTCTGGGACCACCCTCGTATTTATGACTTCTTGCTAGCGTGATGGCAATTTGTATGTCCCATTTTTAAAAAATGCCTTATCCCTAGAGGCAAAAAATTTAACCTGCGTTTGTCTGATATCTTTTTCGTTTTTGAACTTTTTGCCCTGCAAAAAATTTTGTAAAGACAGAAATAAGTAATAATCGGAGTTTGCTAGGTCCGTGGAGTATGGTGGATACGACAGAATTTCCCAGCTTATCTCTGCAAGTTTCTGATGAGTCCCCAAATCTGTATGTGGCTGACATTATCATGGAACAATGTGATGTCCTTCCTATTGAACATCGCCGGCCTCTTTTCTTGGAGTGCTGTTTTTAAATTATCCAATTGCTGACAATCCCTCTCCGAATTTAGCTTTTCGTTCGGTTTCAACAGCTCAAAATGTATTGGTCCTCGAATGTCCCACCATATACACAGCATTCTCTTACTCTGGCTCAACTTCAGTTCAGAGGTGGAGAGAGTAGTTTTTCCAGGTACACAATATTCCTTTTTCCTTACGATAGTTTTGTAGGTAATCCACTTTTCATCCCCAGTTATCATCAAGTTCAAGAATGGTTCGATTTTGTTCCGTGCAAGCAGAGATGTGCATATGATGACTCGATCATTCAAATTCTTTTCACTTAATTCATGTGACACCCATTCCGAATATTCACACACCAATCCTAGTTGCCGAATATGGTCCGAAATGGTTTGTTGAGCTGAAATGAGCCTTGTCGCAATCTCCGATGTTGTCAAAAAACGATTTTATTCTGTAACCGGAAACAGAACTTTCCGGTACACCTAATATTATACACACCAAATTCACGAGATGATAACGTTGGACACTTTACTTGGATAAAAAACTTTTCCCGACTCGTGAGCTCGTAATTAAACATGAAAAAATAACATGAAGAAATACATCTGTGACCGGTACGTATAAATTTAGAAACAATTTAATGAAAAACTGAAAATATCTCATGAAAGAGAATAAAAAATATATTTCTGCAGGTGTTTGTACTACTTCTATTTGGAGGAGAAACTGATGATTCATGCAGCAGTTTGTCGAGAGATAAATGATTGCGCTATCCTGTTACGCGACGAGGACAACAAATGGCTCAGTTTCGGCAACCACAGCAGAGAAGAGCGGACCCCGTTTGTAGTATATGCTGACCTGGAATGTATGCTGGAGAAGATTGCGAAAGGCACCTCAAACGAATACACTTTATATCAACATCACAAGGTATTTAGTATAGTATAGTATAGTAGAATAGTGCATTACATGATATAGGATATTACATGCGTTGCTCGTACGAAAATTCATTGTATCACGTTTGAAGGCTCTCTTAATGTGTTAACAATAACTAAAGAAAAATATATTTCATTACCCGGATATCATTTTCATCGCGATAAACATAGCATCTCGTGGTTCATCGAGCAATTGAAACAATTAGCGCACCATGTATTGGATGAGTGCAAAAGTTCGTGCGGAGGTGCAATAGATGGCGTTAGNAAATATATTTTATCCACTAATGTTCTCATGAAAACTCTATCGTAAGTTCAGTGGGAGATATTTCATAGCGCAACGCACTGTCACATATACGAGAAACAATTCGAGGCGGATTATAACAGAGTGCGCGATCATTGCCATTTTACCAGTCGTTAAAGAGTTCTCGCGCATTCTAATTTTAATTTAAATTATAAAAATTCATTTTGAATCCTCATAGTTTTTCATAATTTATCAGTTTATGATTCGCACTTAATTATAAAGGAAATAGCGGATACGTTTGAAGGCTCTCTTAATGTGTTAACAATAACTAAAGAAAAATATATTTCATTTAAAAAATTGTTCAAGATACAACTGAAAAATCGAATTTACGAAATTGCTTACAATTACGTCTTAACGATTCATACAAATCTCTAAACACCAGACTCAACAAATTGGCATCTTACCTCAGTAAAAATAAATTAAAAATTATCCGGTCAGAATTTCCAAACATATTGATCGAAGATTTTGTGTTATTGACGCGAAAAGATGTTTTTCCACACGAATATCTCGATTATGTAGACATGCTGCTGCAGGATCCATGTTTACCACCATGCGAATCATTTTGCAGTTCGTTGACAGGTGAGACAGTTGTTGTAAGCATAACGATGAGACACGTCGATGATCATAAACGAAGGCCACGGCTCGAATTACCAAACGTCGCTTTGCGGAAATGCAACTCTGCATTCTGGCAAAGGAAATATCGAAATCGGGATGGTCAGTGCCCACGTTCAAGTGACGCTGACACATCAAAACCGTCCCTTCTGATTGAGACATAGGAAGTATATAAAAGGGGACGTGATACCGGCGCAAGGGGAGACTCTAGACTCTCAACTCTCGGGAACCGACACGCTGTCGGTCACACCAGAAATATTGTATCAGGCGAAAAACATAATAAAGACAAATCCATTTTTTAAACAAAAGATAATTTATTTGACACAGAGCATCACCAATGCCTCCTGTTCTACCGCGCTGTGAAGAGCACCCTATACTATTGTGTAGGTGTACGAAAATAAAAGGACAGGCCATGACGGGGATGGAAAACCGAAATGTAACAACTTACCGACAATTGAAAGAAATATTAGAGGCTTGCTATTCGAGGAAAAGGTCGACTACACGTTTACAATGCGAATTTAATTTTTGCGGCAGAAGACCGGAGAAGAAGCGCCTGTCAACGGAAAGAAAATCGATAGACTAGCAACAGAATTATACGAGTCAGCCACTAACGGTACATTGGATACCCCGGTAGAAAAGAGAGCTATACACGAATATTTTAAATGTCAAGCGCTAATTAATTTCCAACTTGGGCTGAATGTTAAGCTGCAAATCATAGTACGACACCGAGCTCCTACTACGCTAGCTAAAGCTATTGCTGGAGCAATGGATGAAGAAAAGGTAAAAGGGTTAACGAACCACAATAATAATCGGGAAACTGCACTCCCATATAACAGTCGACCGACGACATATCCGCGCATTCGAGAAAATGTTAGACCTCTGACGTGTCACAAATGCAACAATACAGGACATCTAGGGAAAGATTGTCACTTCAGCCGTTACGCGAAACGATACACCCTACCAAAAATAAGTAAACGCACTTGCGTAAACACGATGGAAAAATATTGAACACATTGCAAAGAAGCAGGACATACACGCGAAGAATGCTGGAAGTTGCATGAAAAGCCAATGGAATACGCTGCACCCAAACTTGAATGTCGCGAAGAGCATCAAAATATAAACACCGCTTCGGCAGATAGGCATGGAATGAACAAAGGTGGCACATGTAACGAAAACAAAAGTAAAAACAAGGGACAGAAAAAAGAAAATAAAACGCAAAGTGCTCGAGAATTTCAGATCAATCAAGTGATGAAAGCTAGGCAAACACACAGGGGACTGGACTTTGTGATACTCCCGACATGCGAAATTAGACGAGGGAAGATACCGCTTTTACTGGATACCGGGTCGTCAATTAGTTTCGTAAAAATGCGGACCTTAAAAGGGGAAACTCCCGTTACTATAGATGAAGTAACATTGACCGGAGTAACCGGACATCAAACAAGCACGCTAAGCAAATTTTTAACAACCATAAATCTAGGGAGGCAAGTCCTACAATACGAAATCTACGTAGTAAAAGATGTTTTTTCCCATCGAGTACGAGGGAATATTAGGAATAGATTTCCTGCAGGCGCATAACGCGACCTGCGACTATCAGAGCAGAAAACTGAAAATCTTGGGAAACAATTTAGGTTTGTTACCCCACCAAACATATCAGATACCTGCCCAAAGTGAAACAATAATTAAAGCTGCAACAAATATAAAATCAATAGGAATCGTTACAGCAGAAGAGAGAAAACATGGAGTTTTTATAAGAAATTGCCCAGTAGAACCAAACATTTATACTTGTAACGTGAACGACATAAATTCTACGGAGGTTGCAGTCAAAATAGCTACTCCGTATGTAATGTTAGAAGATATGCCGCAAGCTAATGTAAAGGAAATAAATCTAATAAATACGAGACGAAAACAGGGATACACGGTGCAAACACGACTAGAAAAATTGAAACACCAAATAAGCCTGCAACATTTAAACTGTGAAGAGCGAACAAAAATACACACAATTTGTGAGAAATTCATCGATATATTCTTCTTCGAAGGAGACCATCTAACTCATACTACAGCGGTGGAGCATCGTATTGCTAATCGAGGTAATGTAATCCCGATAAATATAAGACCGTATCGTCTGCCCGAGAAGCATAAGCAAGAAGTAGATCGACAATAACGAGAAATGCTCGATGCATCGTTTGTTCTAGCACCAGCCAATGGAATGCTCCTCTATTGGTAGTGCCTAAGAAAACCGACGCGACCAAAAAAACCAAATTGCGAATCATGGTCGATTTCAAAAAATTAAATGATCTAACGGTTGGAGATTCTTTCCCGTTACCAAACATAAATGATATCCTAGACCAGCTTGGAAATGCAAAATATTTCACAACACTGGATTTAGCGTCAGGTTATCATCAGATTCTTATGGGCAAACAGATAAACAGAAGACAGCATTTTCAACACCCACAGGACATTTCGAGTTCAACCGAATGCCTTCCGGGTTAAAAAACGCGCAAGCAACCTTTCAGCGGCTAATGAATACAGTACTAGCAAGATTACAAAGTATAAAGTGCCTGGTATATTTAAACGATATCGTCATCTATGGGTCCAGCCTGGAGGACAATAACAAAAAATTGATCCCTGTGTTAAGATTTCGCCAGAGCAATTTAAAACTGCAGTTAGACAAATGCAATTTCCTACGGAAAGAAGTTACGTACTTGGGGCACATAATTTCAGAAAAGTGAATTTTACCTGACCCCTCTAAATTAGAGGTAGTACACATGTCCCCAGTTCCGAAAAAGGTCCAAGAGATAAAATCCTTTATAGGCCTAGCGGGATATTAAAGACGATTCATAATAAATTTTTCTAAGATAGCGCGTCCTCTAACAAAATTAACAAAAAAAGAAACACCCTTTGAATGGGGAAAGACCAAGAAAATGCGTTCGCAATATTAAAAGAAATATTGACAACCGCTCCCGTACTAAAATATCCGGAATTCGACAAGGAATTTATTATCACTACTGACACATCGGATTTTGCGATAGGAGCCATACTATCACAAGGGCCGATAGGGAAAGATAACCCTATAGCTTACGCTAGCCGCGTATTATCATGCGCAGAACAAAACTATAGTGCTACTGAAAAGGAACTGCTAGCAATAGTATGGGCAGTGAAACATTTTCGCCCATATGTATATGGAACAAAATTTAAAATAATAACTGAACATAAACCGCTGATATGGCTATTTAACGTCACCGACCCCGAATCACGATTAATCAGGTGGCGACTCAAATTAGAAAAATATGATTACGAAATCATTCACAAGGCCGGACGAGCGAACACAAACGCCGACGCGCTTAGCAGAAACATAAAACGACCTGTCTTAAAGATAGGCGCGCCAAAGGAGGAAGATGAAAAAGTCGAAGAAAAAGAATACGCTGAAGAAGAATCCGCTGGCGTGGCAAAAAACCCTCAGAATTATACCGAGGAAAAAAAAGACAAATACTTTATGAATATCACGATAGCACCTCTAGGCGGGCATCAAAACATCCAAAGAACATTAAACAGAATACGGCTAAATCACAAATGGAAAAATACGGCGACCGATATAAAAAAATATTAACAAATGTGAACTTTGCCAAAAAAACAAATTATTGCAAAAGACTAAAATGCCTCTCATACGATACCGATACACCGCGAAAACCATTCGAAAAATGCGCATTAGACGTAGTAGGACCATTAACAGTAACAGAAAATAGAAACAAATATATACTAACATTTCAAGACAATTTAACTAAATTGAGCAAAGCTATACCCATACCAAACCAAGAAGCCTCCACTATCGCAAAAGAATACGTAGAGAAAATAATTTTGGAATGCGGAATTCCCGATAAAATATTTACGGATCAAGGAACGAACTTCCTAAGCAATGTGTTTAAAAACACTTGTAAATTATTAAGAATACAAAAAATACAAAAAACAGCGTACCATCCGCAAAGTAATGGCACACTAGAACGCTCGAATAGAACATTGGCGGAATACTTAAGACACTACATTAATAACGAACAAATAGACTGGGACGAATTGATGCCATATGCAATTTTTACATATAACACGACCCCGCATACGAGTACAGGCTACACATCATTCGAACTATTATACGGTCAAGAAGCGAAATTACCCACTGCAGTATATCTAAAACCCGAACCTGCTTACACCTTCGATTACTATGCACAAGAGCTCAAACAAAGATTACGAGCGACAAATCAGCTAGCAAGGGAACATATTAAAGAAGAAAAAATAAAGAGCAAACTATACTACGACCAAAAAACAAAAGGGGTCCACTACGAAGTAGGCGATAAAGTCTTATTATACGATAAAAATATACGCTGAGGAAGATCTAAGAAACTCGACTATGTGGATAGGGCCATATGAAATATTCAAGAAATACTCCGATGTTAATTATATATTAGGTGGTAAACTTAGTTCCTGCGGCTCACAGTTAGATGACNAAGAGGCCGAAAAAACCTAACCACTCACGGGAATCGCTTAAAACATTACATCGATAATTAATAAACAGAAAAAGGGCACGTACCTTTAAGGAGGACCAATAGGGCGTCCATGCCTCCGTCCAGTAAGGCGGCCACCTCCTGGCACGACATCTTTCTCCCACTCCCCCTGGCCGCCGCCGCGCCGCGCCCACGAGGCGAATATTTGTCCTCGCCCGGCGGAGGAACTCTCGCATGAAGGGACTCGACCGACGCAGCGGGCCCACAGTCTGCCAATCTTCGCCAACCAATATCAGTAATATAATAGCCCCGGGAAGCCGTAACAGGGGGAAAACTTGGGGGTCCACCCCCGGCACCACTTCGCCGCAAGCACAGCGAATCTAAGATGTGCCAAAAATCACCCACCGAACACACACACATAAATAAGGGATAATAAAAAAATAACACACACAAAAAAAAGAGGAAAAGAGGGAGGGGCAACAAAATGATACACTACCACTTCCTTCTTTCTGCCCGGACAACAAGGACCGCACATTTTGAGTGACAGCGAACTACTGAAGAGCCGCTCTACAAACCACTCGGAAACACCGTGACATATGACTGAAAAATGCTGACGTTAAACGAAACCATAAAACCATAACATTGGCCGAATATCATATACGAGCGAAATACGACTACGAAGACGAATAAAAATAAAAAGAAAGCACGACACACTTCACATACTCCCTTCGCTATTTGAATTGCAGGATGGCCATAGCCAGTAACATTATGTATACAACGAGCGAGCCTCAAGAAAAGCCCTACATACTACAGGAATTTCGAGATACACCAGGGCTATACTTTGATAAACTGGGACAACTTCACCAGGTAGCCGCAACCTGGAAGATAAAAATACATCCTTGAAATCCTCACAAATTGCGTATATTGATTTTTCTCTTCATTGTTTAAATGTTGTAGGCGTAATTGTTGCTTCAATTTTTCTATGCGTTTTTGCATTGTGTATTTATGTTGCTGCCTTGTATTTATTAGATTTATCTCTTTTTCATTAGTATGCGGCATATCCTCTAATGTTACATACGGGGTGGCTATTTCGACTACATCCTCCGTAGTATTTATATTGTTCACGCTACAAGTAATTGTTTGGTTTTAGTAGGCAATTTCCTATAAACACTCCGGGTTTTCTTTCTTCAACTGTAACGATTCCTATTGAATTTACGTTCGTGGCAGCTTTTATATCGTTTCGTTTCGGGCAGGTATCTGATGTGTTTGATAGGGTAACAAACTCAATTTGTTCCCTAAAATTGTCAGTTTCCTGCTGTGATAGTCGCAGGTCGCGTTATGCGCCTGCAGGAATTCTACTCCTAGTATTCCCCCGTACTCGATCGGGAAATCATTTTTAACACGTAGATTTCATGTTGTAGGACTTTTCTCCCTATTTTAATGGTTGCTTTAAATTTTCCCAGCGTACTCGCTTGGCGTCCGGTTACTCCGGTCAGCGTTACTTCGTCTATAGTT